CAATTTAATAAATACATGGAAGTATAATTCTAATGTTGACCATGAAACCACTGTAAATTGTTGTAAAAACCATTTGCTTCATTTATGCACTTCCGGGAAAGAAAACTGCTGTCCTTACCTGGTCTGGGTTACGCATGACTCCAGATCCACAGATATTGGTGTGGTTGTTGGAGGCCAGCCATCTAAGCTCCAGGGCTTCACTAAAGGAGTTCCTCAAGATTGTGCCGTAGGCTTAACTACTTTATTGATGATATAACTGACCTTCCCTCAATCATAATGTCGTAAGTCTTTGTTTGGCAACACTTCCCAGGACCTCACCATTAAGTGTATACCCTGATTTTCCCTACCAAAATGTAGCACCTCACACTTGTCTAAGTTAAACTCCGTCTGCCACTCCTCAGCCCACTGGCCCATCTGATCAAGGTCCCATTGTACTCTGAGATAGTCTTCTTCTCTGTCCACTACACCACCAATTTTGGCATCATCTGATAACTTACTAACTGAACTTCCTGTGTTCACATCCAAATCATTTATGTAAACAACAAAAAGCAGTGGACTCAGCACCAATCCTTGCAGCACACTGCTGGTCACAGGCCTCCAGTCCAGAAAGCAACCCTCCAACCACCATCCTCTGTCTCCTACCTTCAAGCCAATTTTGTATCCACATAGCTAGTTCTCTTTGTATTCCATGTGATCTAACCTTGCCAACCAGTCTACCATGTGGAACCTTGCGAGTGCCTTACTGAAGTCCATATAGACAATGTCCACCGGTCTGCCTTTGTCAATCCTCTTCATCATTTCTTCAAAAAATGCAACCACGTTAGTGAGACATGATTTCCCACGCACAAAGCTATATCCCTAATCAGTCCTTGTCTTTCCAAACACGTGTAAATCCAGTTCCTGAGAAAGCACTCCAACAACTTGTCCAGTAGTGATGTCAGGATCACTGGTCTATAGTTCCCTGGCTTTTCCTTACCACCTTTCTTAAATATGGCACTACATTAGCCACCCTCCAGTCTTCTGGCACTCACCCATGGCTATCAGTGATACAAATATTTCAACAATGGGCCCAGCAATCACTTCCCTAACTTCCAAAGATCTCGGGGGAGTGTTGCCAAACAGAGTCCTTGGGGTTCAGGTTCATAGTTCCTTGAAAGTGGAGTCACAGGTAGACAGGATAGTGAAAAAGCTGTTTGGTATGCTTGCCTTTCTTGGTCAGTGCATTGAGTATAGGAGTTAGGGGGTCATGTTGTGACTGTACAGGACACTGGTCAGGCCACTGTTGGAATACTGTGTTAAGTTCTGGTCTGCCTGCTCTTGGAAAAGTGTTGTTAAACTTGAAAGGGTTCAGAAAAGATTTACAAGGATCTTGCCAGCGTTGGAGGGTTGAGCTATGGAGAGAGGCTGAATAGGCTAGGGCTATTTTTCCTCGAGGGTCAGAGGCTGAGGAGTGACCTTTTAGTGGCTTATAAAATCACAAGGAGCATGGGAAGGGTGAATAGCCAAGGTCTTTCCCCCAAGGGTAAGGGCATCCAAAATTTGAGGGCATAGGTCTAAGGTGAGAGGGGAAAGATTTAAAAGAGACCTGAGGGGCAACAATTTTCATGCAGAAGGTGGTGCTGTCGAAGAAACAACTCGTCAGACAACAATGTCATCTTTATTGCTTGCATGCAAGGAGAGTCAGCCATGCAGGTTGCTGCTGCAATCCAGCAGGGTAAGTCTGATACAGGTGATTATAGTGGTATTTTTATACATAAACCACACTTCCTCATTGTCCGATTACATTTCGATCGTAAGCCTTAGCAATACAATAAACTAATCATCTTATGATATTTCGTTAATATGTTATCTGTTCTATGCTTGACTACCATCAGTCTAGATGTGGTTTTGTGGTTAAAGGCGTACATAGATATTGCTTTTACCGAAGCTAAGAGTGATTTTTATGTGTCAGCTATGTGGCTATCAGCATTTTTTTTTTAAAGTTACTGTCTGTCAGAATTTCCTATTTTTTGATTAAATGGAAATTTCAATGGTTTTGCATTGGTTTGTGTACATGCCTGACTGCACCTTTTCTGTACAAAAACCAAAAGAACTGCGGATGCTGTAAATCAGGAACAAAAAAAAAGTTGCTGGAAAAACTCAGCAAGTCTGGTAGCATTTGTGAAGGGAAAAACAGAGTTAACATTTTGGGTCCGGTGATCCTTCCTCAGAACTGATGGTGGCTGGGAAAATGTCAGTTTATATGCAGAAAAAAAGGGGAGGCGGATGGGATAGGGAGTAAATGATAGGATAGAGCCTAATGAGAGAGAAGAGTAGTTGGACAGACAAAGGTCTGATAATGATCAGGCTGGGAGGGTGAATAGTTGTTAATGGGGACTATTAGTGACTAATAGTGTGTAATGGCAGGCTATGTGGTAACAAGGCCTGGTATGTGGGTTAGGGGGCTGAAACATGGGAGAGTTTAGGCCCTAAAATTATTGAACTCAATATTTGGGAGAGTTTAGGCCCTAAAATTATTGAACTCGATATTGGGCTCCATCAGACATGCAAAGAATAACAGGGACCTAGGTGCAGAGTGAATCTCACTCTCATGTACAATATCAAAGACTGGGAAATAAACTCTACAATTCACACTTACAGGCTGTAATGTTCAGAAACTGAATAAACCCCACTGTCAGCTCCAAAAGCCAAAAGCAAAGCTCTGTCCCTACCGTCCCCATCAAACATTCCCAGGCAGGTACATCATGGAATTAGACACAGAGTAAAGACACATTGTGCAGTGACCAATATCTTCTTTCACTTGCTGTCTCTTGGTCTGTATCTCTCTTTTTCTCACGTTGTGTCTCTGTGACTTCTCTTTGTGTTTCCCTCTTTCCTGAAGGTTTGGATGTAACCCATGGATTCACTGCGATAAACAGACCTGACCATCTTTCAGTTTAAGAGAGAAAACAATCAGCGCATTGGCCGCAATGCCCTGAAAGAGACTTGTGCAGGAGGACAGGGTTCAAATCCAATCTCCACACTGTCCCAGTGACTGCAGGCCTGAGGTCAGACTCTGAATTTTGTTTTAACAATCAGGGAGCTTTTCAGCTCTGGGAGACCTCACACCTCTCTCTCTCTCCATCCTGTTTCAAACGTGGATTAATACCATGAGATGTCACAGCAAAGTAGCCATTCGTCCATTCAGTGAGACTGTGGCTAATCTAATAATCCACAGTTCTGCTTTCCTACCTTTCCTCAGAACCCTTGATTCCCTTCCTGGTTAAAAATCTATCACTCTTAGCCCTGAAAGAATGATATATGATTGTAAGAGCTCTGATCAGCAAGTGCCTAGATGACACAAACATTGATGAGTGGTAAACAGTGAAGAGGAAAGCCTTAGACTACAGGATGATGTAGACAGGCTGCTCAGATGGGCTGAACAGGGCAAGTGGACTTTAATCCAGCAAATGTCACAATCTCACACACTTGATACCAAACAATCACTGCTCTCCCTGTATTACACACATGATCACTGTTTCTGACACACATACACACTCTCTCAAACTCATTTTCACGCACTCAGTCTCTCACACATTGCAGCAAACACTCTCACACTCACACACTATCACTCTTATTCAGTCACTCTCATTAAATCACATTGTGTACTGCAGTCACAGACACACACACACTTGCACGTTCATGTCCTTGCACACTCAGTCACTCACATACATGTAGTCACTTGCTCTCACACACACTCACACTCCTTCATGCGGGTTCACACATTCACATTATTTTAATCTGTTTAAACACGTGGTCAAATATCTTGACTGAAGGGTCAATAACAAGGGACACACTTTTTAAGTAAAAAGCATGCAATTTTAAGGAAATTTGAGCATTAGCTTTCTAGAGGGTGGTGGAAACCTGGAATTAATGTGTGGGAGGGTAGTTGAGACAGGAAACCTCACAACCTTTAAAAAGCACCGAAATGAGCTTGTGACTTGTCATAGTATTCAAGGCTATGGGCCTAGTGTGGAAAGTGGGATGAGCGTAGGTACCTCGACCCAAAACGTCAGCTTTCCTGCTCCTCTGATGTTGCTTGGCCTGCTGTGTTCATCCAGCTCTACACCTTGTTATCTCGAGTGTAGGCACAAGTATGTTTTTGGTAGCACAGACTTGATGGATGGAAGGTCCTCTTCTGTACCATATGAATCTATGATTCTATGATATCACCTTCTCAACAGTCCCAAACAGGAAAGAAGCATTCCATAAATTCACCACAAATTTCCCTGTTTGATTCTCTCTATTCTGCTTGGTTAGATTTTTTGTTTTTAATATCCACATGAACAGTCATTATTATCTGGGAGGTTAATCTTGAATCTGACCCACAGGGATTGCAGAAATCCAAATAATCTTTAATCATTCAAAGTTCCTTAGAAACTCTGTGTGTGTGTGTGTTTATATGCGTTTATACGCACGTAACCAGACCTCTGTATCATGAGGGCAAATCCTCCTTTACACAATATTAGGCTATTTCCTGTGTTCTGTTAGAGTCAAGGTAATATTAATGTTAAATTTAGCACATCGCCAGGAATATCAAAAGATGACAACCAGGGGTAATCTCAGAGAACTGTTACCATCACTGATAGTGACATTTCACGATACATTGTATTGAGAGGAACGAGGCAACAGTCAGTACCATGATATTCCATTGCCATTCTTGGACTAACTAATATTATTAAACAGCGACTCATTGAAAATTTTGTTTAATTAATAGGATTCCACAACAGCAATGACTAAGGGAATGATCTATCCACCCTTCACAAAATATGCCCAGAGCATTTATCCTCTGGGACCATCTTCCCTTCTCCAGTTTTAATGTTTGGAAATTCATAGCCTAAGCTTTGTAACTAACCCCCTGATGACCCAACTGCACTTGGGTAGAAAATTTTCCCTTGTTTGTTGAAAGACTGCAACTAATTGTTTCCATACAGTTATTATGTGACTTCATTTACTCTCAGGAACATGGCTTGATCGATAAAGGATGTGAAATGAAGGATCTCAGATACATTTCACTTGGAATCTGAAAACGTGAGGAAAATGGCTGATTCTTTATGAAAGAATAGTAACAATTCTCCAGATAAAGAACATTTGTTATCCTGTTATTGCAGCCTTTGGCGTTCCCAGTAAGGCAATGTTCAATCTTCATGAGCAGTGAATGTCCTGGTGTTCATGTAACAGATTTCAGGAATATTCCTCATTGCAGAGTCGCTTATCCACCAGAAGGAATTGGGGAATATAGACCATTTACTGAGCAGCTTCTCCAGGATGAGTATCAGCAAAGAATATCAAGTCTTAAGATGTTAATGTAATGTTTGTGACTTAACCGAACATTTTACTGGAATCTACACACATTCAACAATTATCTAAAAGTTATATGTAATATATAGGAATGTCTCAAGTAAAGTTTGTTGGAAGGGTACCAACATTAAATCTTCAAAGTTACTTCTTTTTCCCTCAGACATATTGTCATTGACATTGATCTACAGTATGAAAATAAATCTGGAAAGCTCTATGTAACATCAAATTAAAATATGTCCCAAACATTTGATGTAAATGTTTTTTGTTATGGAAGTCCTGCTTGCTATCTCTTCTCTCCCCCTCTTACAGCAAATCTACTGACCATCATCATTCTCACCAATGGAAATTGAGGACTTTCTAAATATATCTCTGTTTACATGCTCGCCATGGCAACAGCAGATTTATTGGTCATATTTTTCAATGTCATTGTGTATCACATTTTGAGTTATCACTTTCCATATTCCTTCCTGGCCTACACAGCTGTTTGTAAGTTCATCCTGTGTGTTAATCCTGCCACATTAGATATGTCTGTCTTGTTTACTGTCTTCTTCACGATTGACCGTTTTGTAATTATCTGTTGTCAGAAGTTTGAATCGAACTACTGCACAGTGAGAACTGCCAGTTTGATTATGGCCACACTCTTTGCCCTGATTTCTTTGGCGAACATACCCTTCTGGTTTGCAAGTGGCCCTGGCCGAATAATTTCCAACATTGCTTGGGACTGTCACTCCAATGTGCCGTTCTACACATCAACTGCAGGTCAGGTGAACTCGTGGGTGAAAAGTGTTTTAGTTGCATGGCTGCCTTTTGTTTGATATTACTGTTTAACTCTTTGACAATCAGGTGTATTTTAGTGACCAGCAGAGTCCGCAGGGGACTGCGGGGTCTCAGCAATGAAAATAGCACTGACCCAGAGAGGAAAAGTAAAAGGAAATGTATAATTTTATTCAGAGATCATAGGAACTGCAGATGCTGGAGAATCTGTGATAACAAGGTGTAGAGCTGGATGAACACAGCAGGCCAAGCAGCATCAGAGGAGCAGGAAGGCTGA